AAATTTTATCTAATTTTTCAATTGGCCAAACTTCAATTTTAACCACAAATTTTATGGGCTTACAACTTTTATCAAAATTGTCTAGACTTGTATCAAAAGATTCGTCACACAACCACTTGATATGTAGATAATGGAAATCCCTTTTTGTTATATTTTTGCCAAGTAGTTGCAATAGTAAAAAATGATCTTTCTGACCAGGGTAATTTTTTTTTTCCCCTTCCTTGCAGGGATCCATATTCAATGGGTGTCAACTCTGACGAATTGAAAACATCTCTTGCCTCACGAGGTAATTCGTTTTATGAGGTTTAAGAATTTGAATTTACTATTGCATATAATACGATACTTTACATTTGACATTTTGAATTTTCTTAGTATCTGATGGTAATGGTTTCATGATCTGTGTAGCATCATGTTTCAAACGAGGTGAAAGTATCGTATTCTAGTAAATAATTTTATGTTATGCAGTTGCAGTTACACCCCCAAAAAACACAGTACCACCTATGGAACAACCTGTAACTGTAACGGATCCACCAGTCGCATCTATGACTGCAGCATCTTCATCAGCAGAGACCACTGGAGCTGGACAGCAGACGAACAAAGAGAAGACGTTAAAAGATGCTGTGAAACTGAAGCACAAAAGGAAAAAGAAGACATCAGCAAGTTAGAGGCATGTAAGTAGTCATCCTCTCTTATGCGAAATGTTTTGAAATTAGATAATGCGAAATGTTTCAAAGTTAGATATTCATATTGTCGAAACATTTAGTGCATGTTTGTTATTATTACTAAATACGACTGCACAACACAATGAACAAAAAATTCATTTCTTCTTTTACACTGTTGAGTACCCTCTAGTATCTATGGATTGCATTCTTTTAAGATTTTTGTATGGCAAAGGTTATGTTGCTGGTGACATTGTTCGACTGTATTGTAGTCTTGAAAGACGAGGTTATATCTTGTGTGTGTCTTGGCCTGAACAGTGAAGAGAAAGGTCGCAACTTCGACATCATCCATAGTGTACTGAAGTTTGCTTTTCTTGGAATTCTTTCTGAGAGATTAACGACTCTGCTGTAAGTAGTGCTTTACAACGTTTTTCCGATGCCGATGGTGCAGTAGCTGCTGCGCCTTCAGAAATTAGGAACCTGGAAATATTAGGCAAGATTGTATTTGGAATGTACATTTGATGTAGCGTCTGCTTATGGTTTTATAATATTCCATGTGAAATTAGTTGGATAGCATGTCTACTGGCTTCTTTAATTAGTTGAACAGCTCTACTTATAAATGTAAGCAAACCCACTCGATCATTCGTACCTATTTATAGCTGAAGTTGAGCTGCATTCTTCATTATATTTTCTAAATGAATGTCCACTCGAAGCTAAATACTTGTAACCTGACAAATTTTCTATGTGAACGAACCATATCGACCATCAATACCTCTAACTTGACTAGATTACATTGCTTTATTACATCATATCTTCCGCTAGATCCTATTACAACTATTCAAGTAGGTCAGTTTTCTTGTTCAACATATGACAAGCGCACTGACCTCATGATCCCCTTTTCTTGCTTTTCATTGAATTGCTTTTCCCACCACTTTGGTGGGAAAATTGTTTTCCACTTTTTTTTTAAAAAAATTTTAATTATTTTTTATTAGTAATGGAAACAAATTCTATTTTCAATTGTAACAAATTTTATCCCTTTAATAGAAATCCAAAATTTCAATATTTTCCACGTGGAAAATTATACTAATTAAATATAATTAATTGACAATTTCCAGGAAAATAATTTTAGACAATTCAATTTTCTAAAATTCATTTTCTTTCCACTTAAACTTCACTCTTGCAATCAAACAGNTGCTTTTCGGGCACCTCTCGCAGGCGTGAATAGTTTTGTGGCTTTGTATTTTTCAAGAATGTATTGGCATTTATTCGTTTAATGATGATAATCTTCATAAATTCTGGCATCTGTATTCTCGGCTCAAATTGTGTATCTTGTAATTAGAAGATGAGCTCCTTTTGACTTTTGGTTCCATGTGTTTTCTAGTAATGTTCAACATTCTTGCTTAATTTAATTAACATATGCTAAAGTTTGCAAAGAACATTAACTATGCCTCATTTTCTCCAGTGACATTAAATGATTTGAATTGAAACCCGTCCAATATAAAATGTCATTCAACATTGTACCGAGTTCTTTCTAATTTCAAAATTTCAACTGAGATCCGTCCTGTTTTATGCATTTAAGAAATTGTGGAGTGTGTGCAGGGAAGATGGGTCATCAGAAGTGCAGCTCGGCCAGACTCATGTAATGGGGTTCGTAACTTGCCAACTGGTGCAACCGTATCGGGACCGGCCTAATGAAGGAACTCTTGCGATATATACTGAGTTCTCTCCGATGGCCGATCCTTCATTTGAGGCGGGACATCCTGCAGAATCTGCAGTGGAATTGGGACGCATAATTGACCGTGGATTAAGGTGAACGCTTGGAATAAAAAAAAATATTGCTAGGAGTTTTGAACTTATGTATTATTTGTTAAAATTTTGAAATCAAATTGTGGTAAGACCAGTTCCTATTTAAAGTACGATAGCTTGAGAAGTTTCCTGTTTTATGTGCCATAACTTTTAGATTTAGAATATAAAATGTCATGAAATTTGAAAAGAGATTTCATGATTTCATCTCGGTGCACTTAAAAAGAATATAAAAATTACAAACTCTTGGAAGATCTAGAAAGTATTGTTGGTTTGATTGTCTAAGAAGCCAGGTGGTTGAAAAGCTAAAACACACGTTTGAGTAGTGAATTTCTCAATCTAACACAGTAGAGCGAGAACTGAATCTTCCTGCATAATTTAGCAAGTGGTGATTGGTTTTTATTTGGACATATGCCATGAACCAGTCGGGCCTTGGGTTTGCTCCCCAATGATCACCAGTTCGAATCCCCTCGGGGCCACTGAGGTGAGTACCCGGCCGTAAATTTCAGCGCTCCGTGGAATTAGTCGAGATGCGCGTAAGCTGGCCCGGACATCCACGGTTATCAAAAAAAAAAAAAAAAAATTCTAGACAGTTCAACTGTCTAGAATTTTNTTTGCAAATGGCGAAATGGTGTTTGATATTTGGTAAATTAACAAATTCAATGATTATGTGATAACAAGAGTATTAACCATTCATGTTGGCTCTAAAAGGACGAAGAAAGAAAAAAAAAAAAAAAAAAAATTCTAGACAGTTCAACTGTCTAGAATTCGACAATGAGGAACTGTATTCTAGACAGTTCTGCCTTTTGCAATTGTATAAACTTCTTTTTCTCAAATGATGAATATGCATATCAAGATTTTTTTTTTGAAAGTCAATTTTAACTAGTTGATGGTACAATTGAGCCAACGATGGTTTAATAAAATACTTGTTCAACCAAAATCCTATTATCTACCCAAATTAAGTAATGCAGTTAAGTTTATGATGTTTCTTGTATTGAATGACAAATAGCCCATGCTTGAAATAATTTTGTTGAACTATGAAAATGTGTTGCAGGGAAAGCAGGGCCGTGGATACAGAATCTCTTTGTATTGTTGCTGGGAAATGGGTGTGGTCCCTTCGTGTTGATCTCCACATTTTAGACAACGGCGGGTGAGTTAAGATTCTCCTTTAATCTCCAAATAACGATTTATATTCTTCAGCTAGGCTTATACACTGTTGTTGACTTTACTTTTTCCTTTGAGAATAGAAATCTTGTTGATGCAGCCAATATTGCTGCTCTTGCTGCTCTACTTACATTTCGGAGGCCAGAGTGCACACTGGGAGGAGAGGATGGTCAAGAAGTTATAATACATGCACCAGAAGTGAGTTTGTCCTTTTAAATTTTCAAGATGAGATTTACCATGGTAGAATTTGACCTGGCATGAAACCATATTTAAAGTAGGAGAATATTTTTGAAAATCATGATTTGTCTCCATAATAGGGGTGCTAGGAAAAACAAGTTTGGCTTTACAGAGAAGTTGGTTTTCGTTGCCGACTTTATACTAAATACACTATACTTTTATGTCCTCGAAGACAGCTCTAGATTGGTTTACTTTTTAGTATCTTTCGTCTTTTGCCGGACTCGAGATGATGTACTTAAAAGGAAAAATAAGCTAAGCAATCACAGAAGATTTATAGAGGAGAAAAAACTGTTTATAGATTTTTATTGTAGTCATGAGAAATGTCTCACCGATATTTACCATGTTTTGTGTGAGAAGAAGTTTGTTCTCTGCATCTCTTGACTGTTTGTTTTCACAGTGAATCAGTTGCTCCTTTTGTTTTACTTTTATTTGATGCCCTGTGTTTTCTATTTGATAATGTGGTAATCCTGTGCAGTTAAAAAAATATAGAAGGCCCGTAATTACATAGGTGATTTGGTGGCTTTGTCCTTTCTGCACTAGATCTTATTTCACCTGAGAATAAATTTTGAGCTACATTTTTTATTTTTGCACTTTGGCAGGCAAGGGAACCTCTTCCATTAACTGTACATCACCTCCCTATAGCAATAACTTTTGCGTTTATTGGTGATGAGAATACAGTGGTAAGCACAATAAAATTTAGGAATTGCATTCTCCCCTCCCCTCTCCTGTCATTGTCATTTTCTTTTCCTTTATTAAATAAAGTGAATCCGCCAATGTATAAGAAATATTTGTAACATGTGCTGCTAGGTGATTGACCCATCGCACTTCGAAGAAGCTGTTATGGGAGGAAGAATGACTGCCACCATAAATGCAAATGGCGATATATGTGCAGTTCAAAAAGCTGGAGGAGAAGGTGTCATACAGAGCGTTATCATGCAGTGTTTAAGGATTGCCTCTGTGAAGGCTGCAGATATAACGAAGAAAATAGAAGATGCTGTAAGTACTTCTGTACAAAATTGTTTTGAAAACATTACATGTGCAAGGATCATTTCAATTTCTGGTGATTACTCGTTACTTTATATGTTGATGAATCCTGTTGTAATTCAAAAAGCCATTTCATTGTGTGTTCTTTCTTCCTACTTTTCTACAGTGCTATGTTTTAGCAATTATCATGCTTTTCTATTTCCCCGACTTAACTACCTACCCTTTCAATATCCATTTACAGAAGTTCACTTATAATTGCTATTGTGGGCATGGAAGTATTTTTCATCTACTTAAATAATCGTCCATTTTCTGCAGGTTGAGTCGAACAATACAGAAAGAGCTCTAAGAAAGATCAAACGACATCCTCCCTCTGCTGTAGTTGATGTCATCAAAGCTGATGAGAAGGGAGCAAATAATTTTTTGAAGGAAAATATGGAGAAGCCAAAACTAAAAATAGAGGACAGCAATGTAGGTCAAAGCGATGACATGGACATTGAAACCCAGTTGTCTAAGCAAGATGATAGTCGAACAAGGACTGACAAAGATACAAGTTTTATTGGCGGGCCATCAAGTTGGTAGAGTCTTGTTTTATCCAATTTTTGAACTTTGCACTAATCTGTCAAAATGAGCATTTCTTGGACTCCCTTTGAGTTGCAAATCAAATCTTTATCTGGACAGGCTTTGATTCCTATGATTTATGTCAGGATTGCAATTTTCCTACAGTTCTGGAAATGGATCTTAGTGCTTGTTAGATAAAATCTTAAATTTTATCTAATTTTTCAATTGG